TTGAGCTAACCGGGGGGCGGTTTAACACAGAGTGACCAGAGGTGTTGCTACATTTTGTCCTTTACCCTTAAACAGGATGCCGGTCCATGGCAGGGTTACCCCAACCCATTTCGTCAGGTATCCTTGCCGTTAGGCTAGGGGTGACGCACCCCTACTCCTGGTTCATTGTGAGAGAAACGTGTCTTGGTCACTGTAACCAGAAGGGACTAAATACTGAAACTTTTCGCCATTCCTTTCTCAGGCGAAAACGTGCTGGTATTACGCCAATCAAGTTCGACCTTCCACCCGAGACTAAGTCACCGAAGAAATCCAAGCCGAGCACAATCTCTGTGTACACTCCCCCCGGTCGGCGAGCTGGAGCGTCCAATGGCGTCGTCAAGGGTCAGACCATGCCTGACGGTGGTAGGGGTCGGGGATTTCGACAAGGAGGCCGCAACCGAGGACGAGGGAGGGGCTGGAGAGGTGGCAGATCTTAGATTATTTACTCTAGAACGTCTTGCACACGTGAAGTACAGACACCATTTTACTGAAATCATCTTAAGATATTTTTACAGTTGTCATCCCGAGAAATTGCAACCAGCTGAGGACTTGGTCCTGAAAGGTTATTTATTGAGTAGACTATTAGGATTTTAATAGTTCCTCTTTGGTTTTAAAAGTCTTTTATTCGATTTATGACCTCCAAGGCATAGTTGTGCCCCTCTAAGAAACATTCAACACCATCTTGTTCGAAGTGGTTTTTTTTTTTTCTGGCCAGAAAGCTTTATATTACCCGAGAGGTCGTTGACTTCCTTATAACTCGAGTCGCCCGGAAAGGAAATGTTTCCTTCGTGCTTGTGTTTGGGGGTCGGGTGAGAGGGGGGGGAGGGGAGGTAGCTTTTTGCAAGGAAGCAGACTTGAAATGATGGAAAACGCAATCTGAAGTAATGATTGTATCTTATCGAGCATTACCTTTATAGAGAGATACTTGAATTCCTGTTGTAAAAGAGATATTTCTTTGAAATCTTTCGTTTTGCCCTGTGTGAAACTGAGGACACACGAACTTAAACAGATGTTTGTCGTTTGCCCGATCACTCTCAACTAAACATACCTTTGAGGCTTGGACTCAGCCTAGGTTGTTATTCATTATTTCATCTGTAAACTCTTCTTACCCGTTTGAAGCAAAGATCCTGCAGCCTGCCCCAAACGTTTTCAATGAAATTGTAATTAAAGACTCTCATGTTTCTCTTCTTTCTGTCTTGTGTCTTCATATTTTTCCAGACGAAATGGTTTGCGGTTGCGTCATGATCCAAAAACTACCCCTCCAACGCGAATTTTTCTCACTTTGTATCACTTGCTAACCAAGGTCCCTCGATTTCTCTCGCACCTCGTTCCCATGCTCGCTTGAGGGAGTGTGAGGAAGAGAAACACTGGGATCGAAGTTCATTCCATGCAGTGTCCATTCGTTCTCTGTCGCATCTTTCAATTCACATTCAAGCTACATGGAATATAACAGCCGTGAGATCAGAGACTTCAAGTTTAGAATTAACCAGAGGGGTACTTGGAAGTAAGGGTGATCTTGGTGTCAGTAATTTCATGGAGGTGTGGTATGTCGTAACGCTTCAACTTGGCATACACCTTCAAAGTACTGCCTTGGTTAACAAAGTAGAATAATACCTCGGTCTCTTACGGAAACCAGCATGCACCTCGAAATTTTAGGATTTTTTCTTCATTTATTTTCTCTCGTTAAGAAATAGGGGACGTGATGAAAACGATTGCTACGACTAAGGCCCTTTTTTCATGCGGACACGTCAAATTCACCGAGAAGTCAAGCAAATAGAGCTGGTCCTGCCTTCTCGCTTATCTCCTGTTCTAGGAGATGGCCTATTGTTGCTCATGTTGGGACGTCGGGGGGAGTAACTGGAATTACCTCACTGAGTGAGAAGCACCAGGAATCCTGAATCTTCAAATTTTCTTAAATGTGCCACTACTTTGCTCTTACAACTTTCAAAAATTTTACGAAGTGATAAAAAAGAGCAATGTGCTTATTTTATCAGTTTGTTTGTTATCTAACGTAGAAGCTCACACCGCACCTGGACTGAAGGTTAAAAGTCAGAGATAACCCTCGCAAGAAGGAATCGCCCGCAAATGTGAAAATCCAGAACGAGAACCGTAAAATAACAATAAAAACTACAAAAGGACTACACGTTCACCAACGTCTTTGAGGTCAAAGCTGATTAATTTCGCTAGTGCCGCATCCAACGAGTTTCCCAAAGGCAGCTATTTACTTTCATCTTGTTTATGATTATCTTGTAATTTTTCAGTTGTTTCAGAAATCTCGTTTTGAGGATCCCATGGCTCGTGTAAACGAGATGATATTACTGCGTAACCTTGTTTCTGTTTACAATGGTATTGCACGGTACCATCTGGCACTCACGAACTTAATTATGAAAAAGTAGAAAGACCTATGATGATAAGCAACGATGCCAGAGAACTTAATGCGCCAAAGTCTCAACATCCGTTTTCCGTGCTCCGGGTGGAGAATTTGAACCCTGCCTGGCTGGGGTGGAGAATTCGAACCGGAAGTATCAAGTCTTTCCAACGGGATACAAGTTTTACATCTTTAGATATGGAGGTGTGTAAAGGTAATGGGGAATTTGAACCGGAAGTATCAAGTCTTCCCAGCGGAATACAAGTGTTACATCTTTAAATATGGAGTTGTGTAAAGGTAACGGAGAAATTATATTATTTCCCCGGAGGGAAGGCACTTATCTGACGGGGAGATGTAGTTCTTCGAACTTCCTCGCAGACTTATACGAGCAATACTGGTGCAGAGCACGGCCGCGTGCGGTCTGGATACCACATTAAAAAAGTTCAAGGCGTTCCTTGCTTCCTCTGAGAGAGCCTGAGTGCGAAAGTCACGAATGACAGTAACAGGGAGGGGAGGAGAATGATCCGACTCCGGTTGGGGATCAATATTGCTCGTATCAGTCTGCGAGGAAGTTCGAAGAACTACATCTCCCCGTCAGGTAAGTGCCTTCCCTCTGGGGAAATAATATAATTTCTCCATTACCTTTACACAACTCCATATTTAAAGATGTAACACTTGTATTCCACTGGAAAGACTTAATACTTCCGGTTCAAATTCCCCATTACCTTTACACACCTCCATATCTAAAGATGTAACGCTTGTATTCCGTTGGAAAGACTTGATACATCTCCTCGTCAGGTAAGTGCCTTCCCCCCAACTGATACTCACAATACTGGTGCAGACTATAAGGGTTACTGGCATGAGTATCCCGTAAACCCGAACAAGAACCAGCTTTAATAACTGTTCAGCTAACTGTGACATAAGGAGTACGGTAAATCCTACAGAAAACTAGGCTCCAGTAAAAATAATCCCCCACGAGAAGGGGAGCTGTAGCATCCATATGCACAGTTTTGAAACAAACTCTGTCATGACACTGAAGGTCAATAGGGAAAAATTGTCTGGAAGACCCAAGGACCCACACCAACTAGGCCAGGAAAACTACTGAATACTGTGTCCCTAAGATAAAACAACAACAATGAACTGCATGAAAGTTCCTCCGAAAGTTAATCAGGCGAAACAGAAAGTACTGCTCTTGTAAATTCCCCTTGTCGGGCGATCTCTGGTAAAATTGCTTAAATGTCTCCGAAGACGACCAGTCTGCTGCCAATAGAATAGACTCCAGTGGAACACCCACATGGGCTGCGGCAGAAGTAGAAGCACTCCGAGTGGAATGACTTGTGAAGTAGGAAGCAACCCCTACCAGCTGCATGGCTTTCCTTAGCCACCTTGACACAGTTTGACTTGTGATTGGTTTAAGAGGCTTAACAAATGATGTAAGAAATAGACAACTTTTTTGAGAGACATGTTTCGGCATGCTTATGCCATCTTCAATTAATGAGTAAGAGAACGTGAGTAATTATATGACAGACAAGTAGATGAATAAAATATTTACAGAATGATAATACAAAAGCGGGTACTAATTACAACGTGACACCAATTATCAAAGGTGTGAACTAAAACGCTACAAAGGTGTTATAATGCTGTAATTGTTTTTTAAGTTCAGGATTGATCTTATTTATATAAAAAGCTTCTTCGAGTTTTAAATCAATTGTGTTGTTAGCAGAATCCAGAGTACTAAAGCAAGAAAGGGAGTATTTGTTCTTACAAGAAGGAGATGTGTTGAAATGCTTAAAAATATGCGAGTTTTTATCGCTTTCAG